GACTCATTCCTGGGAACGGGATGGCTGTTGTGTCTCGGGTGTTTTAATGCTGCATCACGCTGCCCACTTAATGCTTTCAAAGCATTGTGCCAGAAATAAGGCAGTGTTCTGGCTCAGCCCTCCCAGGCTAGTTCCCCATGTTGTTGGAAATGGTCCGTTTCTTGGATTAATGTGTGTCAGATCTTACCACGTTACTGTAATTTTCAATTATTTGCTAACCCAGAATTGAACAGGTAAATTGGAGGATTAAATGGACGGAGTCAGTTGATCTGCAGGAAGCGTTTAGAACGTTGGCTGGTTCGTGGTGCTGGATGTAGGTGTTCGATATTAGTGGGCCTTCTTTTGATAAATGAAATGAAGTAATCCTCTCTTGATGAATTGTTTGCTCACGTCCTGTTTTCATCTGTTTGCTTTCTGGAGTCTTGGCGTTTTAGATTCCTGCATTCACTGATTTCATTCGACAGCCGCGTTTGTTGGGACTCTACCGGTTGCACTCGAGGTCGCTGAAGCGGAAAAGGGGCCTTTGTTATAATGGTACCAAGGGATGTTGTAGAGACTGAGGTCTCTGCGTGTTTGGTGACTTCTTCCCAGAACTGACTTCACCTCCTCCTCATGTGGTTTGGTCCACCTCATCTTCCTGGCTTAGCTTGACTGTCACTTCCTCACAGAAGCCTGTTTTCATTCCGTTCCGTTCCATTTCGTGGTGTCTGTTGTGGGGAGAGAGGGAGCATGGCTGAGCTGACACCCTGTTGGGGCTTTGTTGTAACTCGCTGCTGGCCCTACAGCCAGGATGTGCTCACTGCCACACCGTCCCTGTCCTCAAAGTACCCACAACCGGCGAGGGGGTCGGCAGACCAGCCAGACCAGCCAGAGAAGGTTCGATGAGCCACTGGGATGCGGCAGTGGACGATACAAGAACAACGGACAGAAGCTGAAAGGTTCCACTGTCACGAAGCGACGTGAATAAACGAGATAGGGCGTAGCACGATCGAGATGTGAAAATAGCAGCCCAGTGCCTGAGTCCGTCCTCGGAGCGGGCAGGGGTTACCTCCCCATGCTTCTAATGAAGCCACCGAGTGGCAGAGAAGAAAGAGCCCAGGGTCACACAGGGCGAGCTGGGCAGAGCCAGAAAGAATGTTCTTCCCTTCCACTGGCCCTTCTTGGGCACCCCTTTCTAACGGGCCACCATCCTGTGCCATGGCCTTTATGGTGCAGACATGTCCGTTGCTGTTACAAATTCTGTTCCTTTTGGGGAATCTGTGTCCTGCCCGCATTAGCTGAAGGATTGTTATGTGGCTCTAACTGGGGTCCTTGGGATCCAAATCCGGGCTGGGAGATGACTCCTGTCTGCTCCCAGGATGGACTCGGACGCTGCGTGGCAAACGCCTGAAAAGCCGCCCCGACGAGATGAGTCTGAGGGTCCACGCAGAGGGCCGGCAGCAGGCCCTGCCCCACCTCGGCCGCTCGGGACGGCCGTTCCAGAGGGACTCTGGTCCTATCACTTTGGCCTCACCGGCGTTCTCTGGGACAATCTGGGGATAGGTCTGATAACCCGGCAAGTTGCTCAGATTCTCGATCCCAGTTCTTCGTCCCGGAGAGAGGTTAGCACTGCCTGCCTCCCCAGGTTTTGGGGTGCCCGGCTGAGATCACAGACATCAAGTCCCAGCACAGCTGCTGATGGACAGTAGCCCAGTGGGTAGAGCTTGCCAGTACTCGTGGGAAGAATGGATTAACGTCTTACGCAAGCAACCTCTTTCTTTCTGTGTCATCAGTCTTTTCTTTTCCTGGGCTGTGGTGTGAGCCCGATACAGCCATCTCACCGCCGGCCCTTCGAGGTCACTCTAGCCTCGGGTAAATACTACGTTTTCCGGCCAACTCTCCCTGCAGCTCTCAGGAGTATCTTGACCGAAAACAAGATAGTCTCAGAGCATTGCTCTTTTATGATTAGTCATGGATCTACACTGCATTATTTTAATTAGGCAGCAAAAGATTATGTCAAGTGCTCTCCCAGGCCTGTGGATCGGGGTGTGAGGGACTGCTGAAACACTCGTCGTAACTGCTTCCCAGACTCCGAGACTTCTGTAGGGCTGGCTTGAGGAGCCACCTTTTTCCTTGTCTCTCGCAGAGCCCTGGGAGTATATCCATAAAAGGCTGACTCTTGATCCCAAGTGAGGTGATTATTCCATTTATTCATTGCAGAGCATCTTTTTAGCACTTAATCTTTTACTCTTGGAGCCAAGTGTATTGGTAATGAGTGAAAATATTTATCACTTTGGAGAATGGCTGTATCATCTTTCCTCCCGCTTCTGTGGCAGTGGGGAACCCGGCACCATTTTGCTCAGGCTGCCTGAGCACAATAATGATGCATTTATGTGAGTCATGAGTCCGCGTGGAAGGATGTGTGGCTGAGGTTCTATCCAAGGTGTGTAGAAATGGGCGTCTCTGTGTTTGAAAAAAGATGATGCTATATTTAAGAACAAGTAGCCATTGGTCTCTGATTATGACTTGTCTGCCTTTCATGTGGCAAGGTTTTCCCCACACTTAGGACTTGCAACATTAGCGGAATCTAGAATTTGAGGTGCGTTCCCCTGGGATGAGGATGTAATTATATTCACCTGTTTATAGTATTGTTTCCTTTTGCCGTTTCTGCCGTGTTGCTCACGTAAGATACACAAAATTTCCTTTTTGTTCCTTGTCCAGTTCAGTTCAGTAAAATGCACAGAATATGTTTGCTGTGTGCCGTGCACTCAGGCCCTGGGGGTGCCGGGATGGAGAAGACACGGTCCCTGGGGGCAGCCAAGGCAGCCCAGGCTTGTGGCCAGGCAGTGGTGATGCTCAGAGTCGGGCACGGACAGGAGCATGTGGATGTGGAGAGGGTGTATGGGAGAAGGAGGCGGGGAGCTCACTCCTAGCCCCGTTGCCAGAGATGTTGTTCAACTTGAGTTGTGAGTTACAGTGGAGAATGGCCAGATGCCGAGAGGCAGTGCACCCCAGGCACGGAAATCGTTAGCAAAGGCTCGGCAGAACATTGCCAGAACAGAAAGACTTCCTAACATGCAGGGTGGAAGTCAGAGAGAAGGGTCAGGTCCGGGAAGTTAGTTCGGTTCTGTGGGGTCTTCTGGGCCGCGGTCTGAAACTTCAAATTTGTTCTGCCTGTTGGAGTCATTGGTGGGTATGCAGGAGGAAGGGCTGTGGGAGAGCTTATGTGCGAGATCATCTGGATGGAGGACGGGCATCCGTGTGGATGGATGGATGACGGACGGAGGGAGGAGGAGGGTAGGTGGGGGGACGAGCGGTTAATTGATGGATAGATGGATGGGTGGATGACAGATGGATGGGAGAGTTGCCTGAAGGCAAGGACACCGGGTTAGAGGCTTTTCCCTTGTTCAGGGAAGAAATGAGGAGAGCCTCCACCAGTGTGGAGGTATCACAACAGAGAAATAGGAATATTTAGGAGGGTGAGATTAGGGCTGAAAAACTGAGGTGAGCGCAGCTGGGGTCACGGAGATGTTGCGGAAGGCTACCAGGTCTCTGACTTAGTGATCGGTGTGGGGGGTGGGGTGACGGCGAGGAACTACGGGGGCTGGAGATAGGACCCAGTTGATGGGGAAGAGAATATGTCCAATTTAGCACCTTTGGGTCAGCTAAGCAGTAGTCCGGCAGACAGTTGGATACTCAGGTCTCAAGATCGGGGAAGGGTCGAAGACGCAGAAGAATGAAGAAGAGTCAGAGTGGAAGGTACAGATTTTGGCATTAAAGGTTTGCAGAAGTCCACAGGGGAAGGTTATACGCAGGGAAGCTTGTAGCAGGAGAGTGGAGTGTGGGCCAGAGCGTTGTTGTGGAATGCAGGTGTGTAAAAGGCATGGTTGGGAGAGAATGCCTCGCCGACACCGAGGATGCTGGCCTGTTAGCAGAGTCCAGTCCGATGGACTGAGACCCGCCACTGGCTGGGCATCACGGGTTTTCCTTGGTGAGAACGGCTTTCCTATGACTGGTGTCGTGAGGCATTTTCACTTGGTTTGAGAGAGCATCGGACGGGAGGCTGCAGGCTGCAGGGGGAGGGAACCCTCACCCGGCTCGTCTGAGAAGGAGAGAAGCGCCGGGCCTCTGGGAGGGGCCGGTGGCTCTGTGCTACCACGTGGCGTGGCTGTGCTCCTGGCTCCCCGATGGGCTCGTGCCCTTAGAAACCGCTGGGTGAGCAACTGACCGCTACCAGAAGTAGGTCAGGTTTATATTGGGTCGTGCGTCTGTGCCACTGTTTTTACTTCTGCTAACCAGGGGTAAAAAAAGGTAGTGTGCCCGTATATCCATTCATTTGTCTTCACAAATAAATTGTGCGCTGGTTCATCCCAGTAACGAATGCCTGCATAGCGCCCAAAGAGCAGTGTTTTCTGCTTCTGTGCAGTTTCTTTCTAGCATCCCCCCAGACCTGCCTTTCATGTCCCCACCAAGGTAGGGGTTCCAGACACACGTCTTGCTACCTTGCTCGGGGGCTCTGCATTCTCCTGGCTCTTGGGGACGGTGCGACGCTCTCGGTCACGTGCCACAGGCCCTCGGTGCTCCGGCCCCACAGCGTCTCCGGGGCCAGTGCTTGCCCCACCGTAGACCTTGTGCTTTAGGTCCTGGAAGGAAGACCCAGCTATTCCGGTGTCCTGGGCACCCAGGGTCCCCACCTCTGTGCTCGCCGTGTGCACCTCTTTTCTCTAGTCAGCCGGACACACCTTAGACACCTTACCCTCCCTTCAGGAGCCTGCTCAGATGTCGTTGCTCGTGGGGTTCCCCACCCCAGGCACGGCCGGCTGTTTTTCTCCCTCCACGGCCAGCCCCTTTGTGTTGCCGCTTGCGTGGACAGAGTGTGCTGTGCTGCCTCGTGTCTGTGCTCGTGCAGGCTGTCCCCCCGGAGGTTCTGGACTACCCCCACGGCAAGGGGCATCCTCGCGCACCTGGTTCCGTGCCTGGCCCTTGACGCACTCGTTCACCTTGTCCTCCCTTGTTTCCAGGGAAGCAGTTCAAGTGCACGGTGTGTGACTACACGGCAGCCCAGAAGCCCCAGCTGCTGCGGCACATGGAACAGCACGCCTCCTTCAAGGTGAGAGGACTCGGCACGTGGGGCCCGTGCTCACGCTGCGAGTACGTCGCGTGGCAGACTGGAGAAGTCACTCTTTGGGGGTTCCCCTGGCTCCCGGGCCCCCGTAGCTCGTACACGTGGAGCCTGGGGCAGAACTCGTGTCGTGGTGTGCCCCCCCCTTCCAGAAGTGTGGCATTTCTGTGCCCCTTGGAGACCAGGTCCGGGGAGGGACCGCGTGTGACGCTGCAAAGGCCGGGGAAGAGGCCTGCTCTCACGGTGGGGACCCAAAGCGCTTTAGAGGAGAGGATGTGAGCTGTAAGGAGGGCTGCTTCAGGTCCTGGCTGGCCTCCGGTGTGTCCCCGGCACAGCAGGTGTGGCGATGCCCCCCCCGGAGAGCTAGACTTGGTGTCCGTGTGGTGCCCGGCGGGTCGCCGCGGCTCCGGAGCTCGTGGCGCTCGAGCTCGTTTCATAGCTGTAGCTGATCTCTCTTTAACGTACCCGCTGATTTCCACCTGGCCGCTGCTCGTGCCGCAGTTACGGCCGCAAGAACCGCGGTCCGGTGAACTTGGCCCATAGAGACTTCTGCTCAGCACTGGCAACTCAACCTGAAAACCGCTGCGGCTCCCGCATGTACGCATGGTGATGGAAAACAGGGCGCCCTGAAATGTTTGTGGAGACCGTGCACCCCGAAACCCGGAGAACGTAGCACGTGGGAGGGGCTGTGGGCCGCCACACCAGCAGGCTGCGTTTACTGAGCCTCTACTGTATGCCTACGCTCTGCATCAGCTCGCACCTCCCCGACGGAGGACACTGTCATCCCTGTTTGATAGAACCCCACCCAGAGAAGGTACGCGATCACCTGTCAGGCTTGTCTGCCGTGCCCATATCTACAGATGTCAGTCACTGTTGTCATGCTGACCTACCTGTGTCGTGACTGCTCTGAGGGGACGAGGACCCGCCCCCTCCCCCTCCCTTTCACTGGCAAACTCTTCTGATGCTCAGAACAGCCCTGCGAGAGAGGAGTTCTCAGGATCTTGCCTCATTTAGTTAAGAAACCCAGTGGCTCAGAGGGGTTACGGGCTTTTGTGCATTAAACATCCAGGAAGTGAAGGAGCCAGAACTTGCACTTGGCCTCCGAGTCCAAGGCATGGGGTTCTCCCACCGTGTCTTCTCAGTAATTCTCTTCGGTGGGGGGGGGGGCACACAGGAAACCGTGAGGGCCCCGCACCTGTAGCCTGCCTAGCTACTCTACTGTGGCCTCAGTGGACCTGTGTTTCACAGGCAGGACTGGCACGTCAACTTGTGGGGGTGGCAGGAGGTTCATGAGCGTCCTGCAGATTTTGAACAGGATTAAAGTGAAGAGTGTTATCTCAGGTTTCACAGCCGCAGATGTGTTTCTCTGGGGGACCCTGGGCTGTCGTAGACAGCGCAGTTTGGGTGCTGGGAACAGATCTCTGGGGTGGCCCTCGCTCTGTAGACAAGAAAGTTGGACCAGGCAAGGTTATTTACCGTCCTCACTCTCCCAGGATTGGAACCAGATTTTTCATTTGTTCCTTGGTTCTCAGTACGGAACCTTTTCCCTCACCAAGCAGGTGCAGCTGGACGGTCTCTCTGCCCCGGAATCCTCACTGCTTTCTTTCTCAGCTTTGTAGCATCTTTGGCTTGTGTGCAGAGGAAGTGGACTTGAGGATCGTTTGAGCTCAGGTGTCCCCTTCCTGTGTAGTTCTCAACTGTGTCCGGCTGTCACACAGCTACCGTGCGCTGCTGGGACCTCGGGAGTCACGGGGCCATGCTGGCCTTGGGGTCAACTCCGGTTCCTACGGGCTTCCTGGGGCTTCAGGTGCCCTGCCCCCGCTGGAGCGAGAACCGCTCAGACCTTGGCCTCTCTCCTCCTCCGGGCTGGGTTCTCTGGTGTTTCTCACGAGACTGGGACTGACAAAGCAAAACGAAGCTGGTTCCCGCCAGCCACCCTTATTCACGCTGACAGGTTATCACCCTTCCCTTTGGTCGCTATCATAGTTTTCTGTCACTGCTCTAACCAACACCTCCAACTTGGCAGCCAAACACTACCGGGCATTATCGTGCAGTTCCGAATTCCAGCACGGGTCTCACCGAACGGCCAGGTGACGGCAGGGCCGCGTTCTTTAGGGAGGCTCTCAGAGAAAATCCGTCCCCGTGCCTTTTCTGGCTTCTGGAGGCCACCTGCACTCCTCGGCTCCTGGCCTCAGCCCTCCATCTTGAAAGCCAGCAACACAGCATCCCACCTCTGCTCTGACTCTCTTCTGCCTCCCTTTCGCCTTTCACCTGTGAGGACCTTTCACCTGTGGGTCCACGTGGATGGCCCAGGAGAAGGTCTATACCTTAAGGTCAGATGATTAACAGCCTCAGCCCTACCTGTGGTCTTAACTTCTCTTTGTCATGCAAGCTTCCAGACATCAGGACTTGGACATCTTTGCGGAGGCATTATTCCCCCTGCTGTATCCCGCCCCGCCCTGCTCTGTTTTCTTCCTTTCGCACCTGCTCCCTGGCAGATTTCTATCAAAATCCAAAAATACACAGTCTGTGTGGTCGCACACTCCCTCTGCCTACCAGTGGCAAACATTACTAAGAAATCAGGCCTCTCTGTTTTATCAGTCCTCGATGGGGCCTCAAAGCCTTTGTGCAGACACTACTAATCTATTGCAGTTGACTTTCAAAAGGAAACCAATTTGGTTTTCTAGATCTAGATGTATAATTTGCAATATATAATTTGTGTCATGAAACACTGTAATAAGGGCAAACTCTTGTATTGCCTTTTAAAATTGCATGTTGTTATTTATTTATTTTAAGAATAATATGTGTTCACTAAATAAGATTTGGAAAGCACTTTTCGTTCCCTTTCTTTGTAGAATTTTTGGATATATTAATTTTTTTAGACGTAATTGAGGTCTTACTGTAAATGAGCATTTTTGGGTGGAGATTAAAACATCAGCTTTGCCGCCGATAAAGCTCTATTAGAGAACGCAGCTTAAATGAGTGGCCAGATGGTTTGCTAAGAATACTTTGCGTTTGAGTTAGAATAGCCTCCCAGTCGAAGGCAGGGCTGGAGAGCCTGCCTGATTAGGACATTATAAATATTGCCTTTTTTAAATTATCACTTCATAGGCATTTTCCCATTTTATGAAAATATACTTACTGTAAAACTACTTTTAACGGCTGCTTAAGGATGAGTGCCACAGTTTAATTACCCATTCCCCTTGTAACTGGACAGTTTGGTTGTTTCCAGTTTTTGCCGTTAAAAGTAACTCCACGATGGACGTCTTCATGCCGAAAGCATTTCCAGGTCAGCGTGATATCGAAAGGACTGTAAAACATGGCACGAAGCCCATCAGACCACTGAGAATTCATAGGCAGCCAGGGTGTTACATGTGCTTCTTGCAGCTGTAATTAAAATGCATTCCCGGGGGTGGAACCGACACCGTCAGTCCTAAGCACTTGCCCAGGAAGACGCCTGGATGGGGGTGGGGCTGCCACGGAGCCAGGGGCCTCCAAACAAAATGGGCTCGTTCCCTCCCTCTAGCTGCTCAACTCTTTGCTTCCTTGCCAATAAGTAAGCCAGCATGCTGCCCAGGAAGGTGATGCGATCACGGGCTGGACCCCCTCGTTCAGTTTTCTCTCTCTCCGTTGGGCTGTGTGAACCCACAACTCTGTTGAGAGAAATGTTCTCAATGATGGGGCTAGGTGACCCAGTGGTGATCTCCTTACATGTGATAACAAGTGACTTTATTTCATTTAAAAAGTTTTATTTTAAAATTATTTATTTACTTTTAATTTTATTTTAGAGAGCGAGTAGGGGAGAGGGGCAGAGGGAGAGAGAGACAGAGATAGAGACACAGAGAGGGAGACAGAGAGAGAGAGAGAGAGAGAGAGAGAGAGTGTATCTCAGGTAGGCTCCACACTCAGTGGCGAGCCTGACGCAGGGCTTGATCCCACGACCCCGGGATCGTGACCTGAGCCGAAATCAAGAATCGGATGCTCAACTGACGGAGCCACCCAGGCGCTCCTAAAATAACTTTAGACTCCCCTAAAGTCTGGCGGATTTCCCAGGTACCTATCCCCGCCTCTTCCCTCGATGATAACGTCTTCTTTAACCATAGACTGCTGTCAAAACTGGGAAATGGACTTTGGTATCCTACTATAAACTAAACTGCAGGCCTCAGTTGGATTTTATCAGTCTTCTTTCTTTCTTAATTAATAAAGTATTTTTAAAGTAGTGTTGCATTCACAGCACCATTGAGAGGAAAGTACAGAGAGTTCCCATATACCATCTGGCCCTGCTCCCCACATACAGCCTCCCCCATTTCCAACATCCCCACCAGACGGGTACACTTGTCACAGTGGATGAATCTATAGTGGTACATCATGCTCACCCAAGGCCATACTCTACATTAAGGCTCAGCGTTGGTGTTCTCTTTCGGTTTTGACTGATGTATCATGACACGTATCCACCATTAAGGTTCTCATGCAGGGTGATCTCGCTGCGTTGAAAGTCCTCTGTGCTCTTCCCGTTCATCCCTCCCTCTCCCTTCTGCCCTGGCAACCACTAACTCTTTTACTGTCTCTGCAGCTTTGCCTATTCCGGAATGTCCTAGAGTTGGAATCATACAGTCTGTAGCCTTTTCAGACTGGCTTTTTCACTCAGTAATATACATTGAAGGTTTCTCCATATCTTTTCATGACTTGAGAGTTCATTTCTTTTTAGCGCTGAGTAATATTCCATTATCTGGACGGGCCACAGTTCATTTACCCACTCATCTACTGAAGAACATCTTGGTTGCTTCTAAGTTTTGGCAGTTATGAATAAAACAGTCTGTGCAGACATAATTTCCTAACTCCTTTAGGTAAATACTAAGGGCTGTGATTGCTGGATCATGTGGTAGGAGTATGTTTAGCTCTGCGAGAAACGGCCACACTGTCCTCCAAAGTGACTGTATCATTTTGCATCCCCTCTAACAGTGCGTGAGAGTTCCGGTTGCTCCACA